GTGCTGTAGGGAGAGAGCAGGGAAGAAAACTAGTGGTTCAGAGCATGGATAACTTCCTTGCTGCGCTTTACCCTCCTGGTGAGGCAGTGTGACCCATTTGTTATTAGCTGAAATAAATCTAGTGTGATGTTGTGAATGTCAAAGTAAAAACTGCCTCTTGATAAACGTGGAAATACGTTATTTCTATAAAAGGTGGTCTGGTATTGTCTGTGAAGGAAACAAGCTGTGTGGCTGCAGAGTAGTTTTGCTACTACTAAAACCCTAAAATCAAACCAACCCATGTGACTTGATAAATATAAAGTGTTAACATGGGTACTGTTTTCCTTCTATATTACAGTCATTAAAATTATCCTGAGTCAGAGTTTTGCCCCTTCTCATTTTAAAATGAAATTAGACAATCGTACCTAGAAGTCATTTGATTCCAGGAGATGCAGCTGTAAATAAAGCCATCGTATATCCTGCAAAGTGAAAGTCGGTAATGCTGCTGAGAACACCTCCAAGTTATCGCTAGATCATTTGCTTAGATCTCAGTTGGGGCGAGGAGGTCAAAGGAACATGTATGTTGGCTTGGTGTTCATTTAAAATGGAGTAGGTGCAAGCGTGGGGGAGCTGCTGTTACACCCCTTGTACTAGTAAATTCTGGTCACCTTTGTAACAGGCTGGGCTTGCACATGAGTGGTGCAGCAGGACTGGGAGCAGAGCTAATGTGAACTTGGTTTCAGTCCCATTAATTCTAGTTACGTTTTGGTAGCTCGTTTACTGATTGTTGCTGTCCTATGTCTTGAAAAACTGGGATGATGTGCTCTAGAGCAAAAGACCTCTAAATGATCTAGCCTTAAATTTAAATGAGCTGTTACTGCTTCCTGCATAGGCAGAGAGAAAGAATCTGTGTTGGTAAACTGATATCTTCCTGATTATCAGCAAGTCTTCCAACTTCAGCCCTGTAATAGGTAAGAACGTAGATGGGTGACATCAAACGGGACAGCTAACAAATCTAATGATGTCCTGTTTCGTGGAAGAGCGTTGTCCTCTGAAGAACAGGCAGTGAGATGAGATTTGTGTGTTGGGATGTCAGCTCATGCTTTGCAGAGCTGTGCTCCAGCAGCCTGGCTGTGCACAGACTCCTCTTGCCTGTGCCAGGGTCACCTGGGGACCCGTCGCATGGGGGGACCGCTGAGCAGGCCGGGTCTGGCCTCGGTGCCGCTGCCCCGGCTCTGCCTGCAGTGCGGCCGTTTTGAGAAACACTTGGGAGGATCGACGTAGTGACAGCTGTTATCAACAGCTTCACATTATATTGTGGTGTAAATCTGTCAGTGTGTGGGAAGATGGCTGCCAGCAAGGATAACAGTTGGGAGGGCGTTGGGCAACTGCAAACTGTAATGGTATAACCTGAAGAATGACTGAAACGGGTGATTCCAGCATGAGTGGTGGAGTCAATACTTCACTTTCTCTGTGGTTTGCCTGGCAGTGCTCTGATGAAAGGCACGTCCTGGACTATCTCAAATCTGCTGCTTTGCCATAGGCAGTATATGGGCTGTTTGGTATGAGATGAGAAATTGGCTTAGAAAATTAAAAAAAAACAAAGCAACAAACATCTAAACTTAGTCATTGTTTGGTTTACAGAATTCTTCCTGTGCAGCATGGGATTATCCAGAGGGATACTTAATTTTTACGGTCACTGGGAGCCTTGGGTTTTCAAATTTATTGAAGTTATTTAGTTGATGTGTGATGTGCAACATTTGCATGACAGAGAATTCTCTTTATAGGAATGAAGAAATTAAAATAATTGCACTCAATTTATTTGCCCAGAAATTATACGTGGGTTTTCAAAACTGCTGATTTCTACTGCTTTCTGTGACTATATCTAGTTTCACTGTCAATATTACATCTTAAAGAACCGTTGAATTTGCTATTACAACAACTGCTGATATTTTGAAACTCAGTTCATTCTCTAAATTTGCTGTAACAGAAACCTGGCAAACGAAGATGTGATTCATGGTGTGTTTCCATTTGACAGAGTTGTTTTTTTTTTTTTTTCTTTAATACTTGCATTTTAAAATTTTGAATCACTTTGCTAAGTTTGTTCTTTGCCAGGCAGAACTTTTTACTGACTGGGAAATAAAAGTATGTAAGTTATCTGCCTTCCCAAAGTCATGCGAGGCCAAAACTTGCTCTGTTACTCTGATGCTGTGAGGACAGAACCGGGCACAAAATATCTACATGGAACTTGAATCTCTTGCTTCCTCTTATGGTTTTGTAATTAAAAGCACCAGGAAAGCTTATTCTTAAGACCTTCATCAAGTTAATTAACCCTTAATATACAGGCAGTTCTATAGGAAAAATATTTTGCCTTGAAGATGAATTTTCCATGAATTATGGTACATGTAATTTTTGGCCTTGTTTGTATGGATGGAAAAAATAGTTTCTGTAAATATGAAATACAATATTGTTAGTGTAAATGTTGAGGGGTATTTTTCTTTTGTGTTTTTTTCAGGTAAACGACCTCTGCTGGCACGTGCGCTGTCTCTCATGCAGTGTTTGTAGAACGTCTCTTGGAAGGCATACCAGCTGTTACATCAAAGATAAAGATATCTTCTGCAAACTTGATTATTTCAGGTATATCGTGCAGGAATATCACTTTATTAGATAACATGCCATACTTGCTACTTTTTACTTGAGCTGCAACTGAAATGCACATTTAGGCTCTTTGGGGTTTATTTTCTAGGTTTATTTTCAGTAGTTAAACTCTGATGTTTCTTGCGGAGGGACTCGGGAAGCCCCAAGTCTGTCTAACGTAACTGCCTACTAAGTCTCCCTCTCTGCCCCTCTCTTCTTACGCGTAGGTGCTGTATTTATACAATGACTTACTCCTGCACGCACAGAGATGAAAAAAATGTCAGAGTCCCTGCCACAGTAAGGCTGTAAATCTGTTGTATGTGCAAAGAATCATCCTTAGGTAATGCTGATCAAGAATACAAGGCAGAGCTGAGATGATGGTCTGTTTGGACTAGTGCTGCTCAGGTCTGAGACTTAGGGTGTCACATGTAAGTACAAAACCAACCCAGAATAAATCCCGTGATCTTTAAAGGAAGCTTTCAGCAGTTATACCTTTCTGTGATCAATTTTATTTAGAATGTGAAGCATTCTTCAAGATCAAGGTCTAATCCTGTAAGGAAGACTATTATTTATTCATGCTGGCATTGAAAGTACTCATGATACAAAATTTTCCATCCAGAGAGTAGCAAAAAATGTTGGTGTTAATTTTGCTGTGATCACTAGTACTTCCCCAGCCGAAACTATTTATGGGATTCTCGTGCGCGTTGTGAATGGATTATGTTCTGCTAGTCAGTTTTGACATTGAAAGACAGCGGGGAGCAGGCTGAATACTGGGAACTTCTAGAAAAACAAAGTTTTGTGGGACTTCAAAAAAAGAACTTACGAGTCTGCAAAGATTTTTTCAGGACAAATTCTTATCTACATAATCAACATATCTTGGTGTCTAGTTTCCTCTTCAAAGAGAAATATTCTGCTGTAGTAACGTAAATACTTGCAGATATTTGAATTTCTTTTAAAATCATAATGTGATAGTAATTAAGGAAATAACTATGAAGAGACAGGTTTTCCCCCTTTTTCCGCTGAAGGGGACTGAATGACTAGTGAAGGATGATGTAGCTAAATATAGTAATTCAGACTACCACTAGAGTAATGTGAAATATGTTTGAATGACTGGGAGAATTTTGAACACAAGGTCAGCTGTTTCCATCCCCTACTCTTTTAAAAGAGTAATTATCTTTGCAAAAGGAAAGTTGAAGAGTTGTGAATTCATGTAGCAGTTAAGATGTTTCAATTTCACTCTTTGCCTTCTGAAAATACTAACTTCTGTAGTTCAGTAGTGGACTTGCCTTGAGCCATTGGATACAAACTCGCTGATTTTGTTGCAATAAAAACACAATTATGCTGTCCCCTCATCCCTTGCTGTCAGCCTACTCGCTGCAGGTCTCAGCTCTGCTGCCACATCTCGGTCGCCTCTAAGCCTCCTGGAATCACCCTTCGCCTGAGACACTGGTGCCTGTGCCTTCACCCTCCTGTTGCCTTTGTTCTTTCCCCGCTGCTCCCGCTGTGGGCGGCACATTCATTCCACTGACTGGGTCCGAAGGGCTAAAGGAAACGTGTACCACTTGGCATGCTTTGCGTGCTTCTCCTGCAAAAGACAGCTTTCTACTGGAGAGGAGTTTGCTCTGGTTGAAGAGAAAGTCCTTTGTAGAGTACATTACGACTGCATGTTGGACAATTTGAAAAGAGAAGTTGAAAATGGTAACATGCTGCTTTTGTTAAGAACTATGTTCGTGGTTTAGTTTTAATTAAAATGTTGGGTTTCACTTAATCTTCCTTTTTCAGAGGTAACTACCTAGCTTTACTAAGGCTGGAAGTACAGGTTCTTGAATGAAAATAATGTGCAAATTATTTGATGTTTTATTTTTTTTTAAGTTTGTATAACTTGTTTTCTATCCTAAGGAAAAGAAAGCAAGAGCATATGTAGTTGACAAAACATTGTGCTGGATCTAGTCCTTCCTTCTCTTGCAAGAGAGTCAGCTGGGGGTGTAATGGGTAATGGTGCCAGATCAATTTAATTTTGAACAGAATATGACTTTTTAAAATTTGAAATTCAGCTGGCCAACTACTGTCGGTTATTGTTGGAGAAGAGTCTGACTTACCAATAACATCATTTTGAATGCTGAGCAGATGGTGTTGCTTTCTCTTTAATGCTTCAGGTAATGGGATTAGTGTGGAAGGAGCATTACTAACAGAACAAGATGTTAATCATCCAAAACCAGCAAAAAGAGCTCGGACCAGCTTCACAGCAGATCAACTCCAGGTAGAGACAGTGCTAAAAACTTGCTTAGTTCAGGTTCCTGCAGCGAACCGATAGGAAATTGGATGCATATTGGGGGGAAGAAAAAGCTTGCATGTTTTAAACTATTTCATAAACTGTCAAGACACAGCATGTTTCTGGAATTGTTTGTTAGCTTCAGCAGTTTAATATGAAATAGTTACTCTTCAAGCTTTTTATTTCCCTGGGGGCAGCCAGTAATTCTGCAGAGTGGAAACAAAAAGGTTGTTCTATTTTGATTGCTTGATTAAATCAATTTAATCAGACATTTACATCGCTACATATAATAAAGACAAAATATTTTCAGAATTACGTAATGTGAAGAATTGTACTAAAGATGGGTACTGTATATGACTTCAAAACATTAATAGGGTGGAAGTTTGACTTTTGTTGTAATGCACAATAAGGGCTGCAAAAGATTGTTCTCAAAAGAGGTAAGTATTGTGGGTGCCTGTTCGCATTCACGTGAACACAGGCTGACTCCTGTCAATGACTGTTCCTTTTGGAACTCTGTTTTGCTTTGGCTTACAGAGAAGACAGGGAACAGTTGCACTTCTATTTCTTGATTGCCCTTTTTTCATCCTAAGATGGTTCTCCTCGATATTTGCTTTTTAGATCGTATATCATAGTCTCGGCTATATTTCTGTGCACCAGGAAGAGAGATTATCAACAGAGACTCATCTTTGCTTTCCTTCCTTCTCTTCTTCCCCTTTTCCCAGCCCTTCCGAAGTGCTTCACCTGCTGATTTTCTCAAAGTGTCTTTGAGCTTTGCCTGCTAAAAATTTACTGAAGTCAGTACGATCTTGGTGTCATATTTCAAGACCTAGCTTGAGTATTTAATGCTGCACGTTTTAGGTGAAAACTCCACTTTTTTTCATAGAGCTGAGTGGAGTTAAATATAGGGAAAGCTCACTTGAGGTACTTGGCAGCGATTCTTGCACTGTCCAATTTGTTCTTGAACACGCATTACTGAAGTATGTTTTTTCACTATCTCTTTATACTAGCTCAGCCACTGGTTCCCTCCCTTTCCATGGTCACGACTACGGGAAGTGGGAGCTAGGAAGTCTAGAAGTACCGAATCAAAACCCTTCCTGCAGGATCAAGCCTGCCCTGAAGTGGGGGGATTGCCTACATCTGCTCTGCTTTCAAGGCTTCTTGTTTTGTTGCTACCTTGGTGAGAGCTAACTCTGGACTGCCTCAAACATGAGAGTTATTTCACCCTCTGGATCACCACTTCACTTAAATTAGCTTTCCAGGGAAAACCACCACGAGTGGGGCCAGCTCCCCATGAAAGGGGCAGTGGTGAGACCAGATCTAGAGGTTTCAACCTGTAGCGGGAAGGAAGCTGCAGCTTTCCACCTAATCATAGATTTCATAGATTTCTAGGTTGGAAAAGACCTTTAGAGATCATCGAGTCCAACCATCCCTAATCCCCATTAAACCATATCCCTAAGTAGATCATCCACCCAATCGTAGCTACGCACCTCAGCTTCCAGTTTATGACGTGGCTTGAGTTTCTGGTCACACATGGCCGCTACGCCGTTCGTTTTCTACTCTCAGTCTGAGTTCTGTTTTGTTCGCCTGTCCTCTTGTTCATGGTGAAGTCGTTGAGAGAAACGAAAGCTGAGGTGTGATAACGTGAGACATTTTAGCAGTGCTATGTAACACGACATGGCTTTTCAAAGCTTGGTTTGCCATTTCAGCCGTGACTGGAGGCAGAAGGTTTTGTTGATACAGACAAGCATGTTAGCAATAATCTGGCAGGGGCACAGGTCAAGGGCTCTGGACATCAAGCCTGAACTTCTGCCAAAGGGAACTTTCTCTTGCAGCGTAGCTGAACAGGAGATAGGCCCAGCCACCAGGGTAGGAACTGTATTCAGGACTTCTTCCTGTTTGCTGTCATTGAAATGTCCATGTTCCCCTCTTCCTGTTTAAGTAGTTTGTAACCTACTTCAGCAGATGTTTGAGATCTTTGGACCTCTTGTTATTCAATGACCCTTGCTGCCTGCTCAGTGCATCTGTCTCTGTACCTGCCCTTGATGCTGGTGTAAGACTTTATTTCCATCAAGAGAAGAATCAGGGGGATAAGTGATTATCAGAGTGGCAGCATGTAGTAGCACACCTCATGAAGTACTTGTACAAAAGGGTGTCCGTGTTTTTTGATGTCTTTCTGTGAAACGGTAGGAAAGTAAATAGATTCGATGTTTCTGAATGTGGAGAGCAGTAGTCTGACTCTACAGAGATGAAGCCAGGCAAAATTTGCAGACCATCAAGGGACAAAAATCCAGAAATGAGAAACTACCATTTGCTAAGTTGCTGAAGATACCCTGCAGAAATCCATGAAGCCCTATTTCCTCAAATAAGGTAAACTCTTACAGGCTCTAAAACTATTCAGGATGCAGGCCAAGTTGACATCTACTTTGTAAAAAAAAATGTAATTGACATCCTAATGACAAGAGTCCACTTCAATTTTCTGTAAAAGATGAGCATAACCAACCAATTGCATACTGCAGGTGGACCAAGGTGGAGCCTCTGTGTTCCTCAGGTCGGTCAAAGGTGAAGGAGGCATAAAGTGCATCCCAGTTGCCTGCATGCTCCGTGCAGCTGAAAAGAGGGTTAAGTTGCTCCCTATAATGAGATGCAGACAGTGGCTGACAAGTTCAGAGAGAGGGATGAGAGTTCATTCCTTCCTTGTGCTGTGCGCCGTGGTCTGCTGCTATAGACGTCGTCTTCACTAAGCATGTTGGAATTCTTTGCAGTGAATTTTCTCCCACGGTCCTTTGAATGCAGGTGTAACAGCACCTCCTCCATTTTGTACTACCGCCAAGCAGAATTAATTTCTTCATTTCTGGTAAATGTCTCAGCTCATTTAAGCATAATAAGGGACTTGTATTTTGGCTTTGGGTGATTCCTCTCCCCCCCTCCCCAAATGTATCGGGGACTGTCTGGGGACTAGCGATTACAACAGTTTCCTAAAATCAGACAAGGAGTAGGACCATGGTCTGAGAGGAGTCTCTAATGCTGCTCTCAGGACCGCACACAAAAACCTGCAATCTCTTATCTTGCCTTTTCAGGTTATGCAAGCACAGTTTGCTCAGGACAACAATCCAGATGCACAAACACTTCAGAAACTGGCTGAAAGAACAGGCTTGAGCAGGCGTGTTATACAGGTAACTGTGCTCTTTGCTAATAAAGTCTGGTACTCGTCTATTGGAAACGCTTAATGACAATTTTCTCCATGTAGTTATTCTGAGATGGAAAAAGATCTAATCTAGCAGTTTTAACATAACTTCAGACAACATACTTAGTCAGGAATAAGTCTAGAACAAACGTTAATTTGGAAAACTTGCTGTATTTCTCTTGCACTTTCTGTGGAGGATTATAATTTTCCAGGAAGAAACTTCAGTCTAAATAGTACAGAAGTTGGCACTAAGATCTTCTAAATACAAATTCTTGACTTCAATAGCCTGTTCTTAAGACTTGCACCATTTTTGAAAATAGCTTGTGGTATGACACATTAGGAGTGAGTTCCTAGTGATCTGTTCTAGAGAGAAGAGCTAAAATATATACCCATGCTGTCCAAAACTGAGAGAAATGTTATATCCATGCTCTTTTTATACATGAATATGATTTTTTTATAGTATGAATTATACATTGGTATGTTTATACAAAAAATAAACTTGCAGTTCCCTTAGCTCATTCTAGGCTAGAAGATTGACAGATTGTTTCTATGGAAACGAGATATCTGGCAGCTGTGATCAAGCCTTAAAAAAAAAAAAGGGGAAACTTGCACAGTTCTCAGTGTGAAAAGGAAAATAGGTATCCTGTGGAAAAACCCGCCGTGCTGTCGGCAGCCTTCTGGCACGGGGCTGGCTGCGGGGCAGCAGCCCGCGCGGCGGTGCAAGGCTGCGGGTGCTGTCGCTCAGCCTGGCGGGACGCGGGTCCCAGGAGCTGCGCAGCCCCTCGCCGTGCCTGTGCTCTGTGGGCTCCAGCTCATGGCAGAAGCTTTCCTGGTTTGACTGTGCTTGTCTGGGGCACCGTGTAGGCTTAGAATGAATCCTCCTTCATCTGGACTGCCAGTGTTATGTTAAAGGCCCAGGTAACTGGCTGAATTCAGCTGAAGTTAGAGCTCTGGGGGTTTTATGATGCTAACGTCGAAACAATGCAATCCATCAACATGGTGTGCGTTTCCCTCTGCTTTTCAGGTGTGGTTTCAAAATTGCAGGGCACGCCATAAGAAACATGTTAGTCCTAATCATTCATCTACTGCTCCTGTCACAGCAGTTCAACCTTCCAGGCTGTCTCCACCCATGTTAGAAGAAATGGCGTATTCTGCATACATACCCCAGGATGGCACCATGTTAACTGCTCTACACAGCTATATGGATGGTAGGTACAATGACTTTGCATGCCCAAGTAAAATCATTATTGACTGTAGCAAGAACAGTTTGCTGAGTACCAATTAAAGAAACTTGATGGATTTTTAATTTCTAGTATTCTTTATAGAATATCTCAATACTGTTCTTGCTATCTATGCCTCGTTTAGAAGTGTGCCTCTTCTTCACTGTAAGAGCTTAGCCGAAGGTCTGGGTACGAAGACAACTTTTTGTGCTTCCTCCAGACTATGAATACTAGTAATAAGAAATCAAACACTTTTTTAAACACTCATGCCATGCTTTTTTAATAATACATAACTTTAATGAAAACAGTTTATCCCCCACTTTCTGACTCTTACCCCAAGGACTGTAGATACACTCAATCCAGCAACTTCGCTGAAAACTTAAGCTTCCCTCATATTAACGCACGCGGTGGGGGGACCCTGGTGATCAAAAGGATGTTTCAGTCATTGTGTGTCTTATGGCCCAGCAAGTCAGGAACTTTGGCATATCTGAGATTAGGAGACACTGCGAAGGTTTTGGGAGGACTAGACTCTGAGATGTACATGTGGCCTGAGCTTAATTTTTTTTCCAAAGCAGTGGTGTAAGTTGGGCTGTGGGTGGAGGAGCGTGAACGCTGGGCTGGGGAAAACAGAGCACGCTGCAGTGGTTGGGACCAGCAAACGGTTGTTACTCGATTTAACTGACTATCTTATCTTTTTCTACCTCCAAGGAAGTTGACCAGTAAGTATTTCTGTTTTTATAGCTCATTCACCTACTGCTCTTGGACTCCAGCCTTTGCTACCCCATTCAATGACACAACTGCCAATAAGTCACACCTAATTCCTTTCTGTCAGGGATATAAGCTATTAAGGATGTAACCTCAAGTCATTTATTGTGTATTAAGAATTGGAAAGATATTAATGTTAACTTTTTATTTAACATCTAAAGCATCTTCAAGATAATTTTTGCTGCCCAGGTATGTAAGTATATATTTAGCCTGCAAGACACTTTTATGGATTCTGCATAAATAACTATTACATTGTTTACAAGCCTTATTAAACACCTTTTTGTATTGTCTGGAAGTAGTCCACTCTAGTTATGTGTGTGTTAATTTATTTGTCATCAAAAGAGCACTTTGCCTAAAAGAAAGGACTGACAATTGTGCAAAATGTTTACAATTCTTTGTGAAATTGTGGTTTATCATTAGTTTGTATCTGTAAGTTATTGCTAAAAGTATTACCTGTATTTGAGTTGTACACAGCCTTATATGTTAAAGCTTATTTCTGTGAGTTTACAAAAATAAATTTTGGTTGCAAATATTTTCAGAAATGAACTGAATAAAGTTTCTGCTGTAGCATGCTAAGCAAAAATGTTGCTGTGTTTATGGCTGAACCGTGATCCTTTGACGAGTGCTTAACTTTAATCTTCGATTTTAAGAGGAAGGTCCCTGGTATACTTAGGTATGATACACCAAACTCAGGAGTCCTCGTATCTGTCTCAACTGATTAAAAAAATCCTTTAATGGGCTTAGATGGGTCTTGAAACACTCCAAATAGGTAGTACTTTAAAACAGTGCTGCCTCTGAGGGTGAGGGTGCACACCTGCAGGGTAAGGGAAATGGTGGATGTATAGGATAGATATTATTTTTTTTGCTTGTGATTTAAGTTGGCAAGTGGAGAACCTAAACTTGCATCTGCTTTAGTATTTTGAATTTTTACTACTTCAGCTTCTGGTTTCTTCAGAGGTTAGATCTTGTGATTTTTGTTAAGCAGGATGGTAACCGATATGCAATACTTAAACAGAGTCTGCATTTTTAAAGTAAAATCTAGGTCATTATTTTAACTGACCTGTATCAAACTGCATAAGAACAGAGACTGGAACTCAGTCAAATGCACAAAAGCCTGCTGTGTTTTAAACTGTTGATGTGCTAAGACTTAATTGCAAAGCATGTTTTGATACACTGATTTGATGGACAAAGCCTAGTGCATACTATCAATTCAACTGATTTTTGTCTTCACAGACTAGTTTCCTTCGAGTATTTAAAATATAATATACCCTAACCCTGCAGATTCCATCTGCACACCTAAACTTTACTGGCATCAGAAGGAAATTATACTTTTGAAGGTGTGTGTCCATGTCCTATTCTTCTCTCCCAGCTATGAGTTACTGTCTCTATTCTATAAAATTTCTTAACTATCCTGGTCAAATGATTTCAACGTAGAAAAGGTAGTATGTTCCCTGTCACTGTGGAGAGATGATGGCTTTTGAGTGCATGACTTTAATGGCAAGCTCTGAGTTATTCAAATTCCATAAATTAAACATTGGCATGGTTTCAAGTGCTACTCTCAGATGCCTGAGCTAATCTGAGTAGCAAAAGCAATCTATTTGCACTGGCATAGTGGTTTGTCTAGGCCAATATTATCCTGTCACATTTTTTCACAAAAAAAAAACCTTCTAAGGATATGGGGTGTTTGTGGAACTTGACTGATTTTACATTTTACTCTAAGATACATAATTTCCTAGTAAAATACTCTGGGTGGAATACTGAGTTCCATTTGTCGTTTTCAGGACCTAAGCTAGTTCCATATAGCTGCATGAATACAAAACTGCCTGCATAGCAGTAGGCAAACTGGGTTTTGTTGATTTCTTAGGTCTGATATGCAAGTAGGACAACTTTACTGCTGAAACTTCACCAGTTAAATGCTAAATAATGCTAATTTAGATCTTAACATAACTTGGCAATTTAAAATATTCAGTTGTTTTAAAATGCAGCTTGACTTACATCAAGTCCCTTTAAAGAAAAGTAGATATTCGCTCTAATTTGAAGGACTAAGCAGCTTCAGGTTGCCTGAAACTGTCTGAGCTTATTTATGAAACATCCTGTTTTGTTCAGTTCCCAAGGCAGTGCAGGATCACGTTAAGAGGGGGGCAATTATGCCATTTCCCTATGAAAGCAGGAAGCAGGAGAATTTGTCTTTTGCTGCTGTGGATGCCTGAGCCACTCTATATGTCAAGTGTGGCTAGGAGAACGCAGAGTGCAAAAGAGAGAGCTCCAGCAGATCTGGACTTCTGAGTCTTCCCTTTGAGAAGGTCAGGCCTGTGCTGCTGGCTGATTCCAGCTGTCTGCAGCTGGTGTTGGGCTGTGTGGGGCTGATGGAGCACATGGAAAACTGAGGATGGCTTTAATGTGCTGCTCTCAACTGCAGCTGTTGCTGTAGCCTGGCCTGCGAGCTTGAGTGTGTGCCTTTTTCTGCTGGTTGTGCACTGGTTTGTGTTTGTGACTTTGCTGCTGAGCTTTTCTGACGCTGGAGCCATCGTCCTTACTGCTGCTGGCTGTTTAAGAGTAACTGGGATATTGGAAACTGATGGGATCTCTTTACAGGAAGAGAATGCAGCTATAGCTACAGCAGGAGCATGTAGCATTGTGTCGGGGCCTTTTAGACTGCATGGGTTCAATTTAAAATGGAAATGTTATTACAAAATTAGCCTATAAATAAATTGGTCTTAACATCTCACTTAAAACTGGCCTATCTTGAACGGAGAACAATTCAGAGCTCTGCCTGGTGCTCTGCTATGTGGCTGCTTTTGCAGAGAACTTTGTAGTATGTTCCCTCTGATCCCAAGTGTTTAGCCTACCCACAGAGTAGGGTGATGGTATGGCACTTGCTAATTGTTCCAGTGCGGCCTATCTGAAGAAATCTAAAATGGAACTAATGTTGCAAAACATATTTTGCATCAAGAGGTTCTCAAAGGAAGAGAGATATCACTTAAGAGACTGGCTATCAGCTTCCACTCCTTCCTTTTCCCCTTCCTTCCCTGACCTAAGCAAAGCAAGTTGGGGTTGGTGACATGTTACTGTGTTGTAAAAAGTAACTACACTGCAAAATAAAACTTAAAATTTATTATATTCAATTTGCTGTAGGAGGAAGGAGAAACACAGATGAAAAATACAAGCTTCACAAAATCTCTAAAGGATGTCTGTTTATTATTAGAAGTTGCAGTATTTCAGTTTGCAGAGTAAAGAAATAGTCTATTGCTACAGCATCTTCAAGATCTTTTAGAAATATTGCAAACTGCAATTAAATGAAATACTGGAATCTAGATGTTTTGAAATTCCAGCTACTCACTGGGAATACCAATTTGTGTTCATATGAAGATAAATTTGAAAAGTACTTGGGCATAATCTAGTTCACTTTTCACCCCAAGGCACAATGAAATATCTTAGCTACTGCTAGTGGAGAGTAGAAATTTTTACAGACTCCACAGGAAATCTGGCACTTTCTTTGGAAAAAAAAACCCAACAAAACAATAAAAGAAAACCCCCAGTCTTTGCTGCCAAACAAATCTGATTCATCGAGTTTTTCATACCAAGTCATGTTTTCTAAATATCTAATTGTTTCCATGCTGTTTACTTTGTCCATCTTCTTGAAGCACGAAGCTCAGTTTCAGCCAAGCCCTCGCTGATACGTAGCAGGAGGATCAGGGCACTGTGTGTTCCAGGGTAACGACTGCTGCTCTCCTGATAACACTACCCTCCCCGTTCCCTGTGTCACCAGCTGTTACCTGGTCTCCTGTTTACCATTCTCCATAGATAATGGTAACGTAGGTAAGCAGCTTCTAGTTTGCCATACTGAATATCAGCCTGCTTCTTTCTTACTACTTCTCAAAGTTTCCCAAATCATTTTGATTTCCAGTTCTGAGCTCCCCAGTACTGCCTCTTTTGTGTTGTCAAAAATTCACTCAGCAGCTCTTTATTCTGTCATCCAGGTAATTAACTAAAATGCTGACTAGAACTTGATCCTTCAGGAATTCTATTTTTTAAACAGGAGTATGTATCATGTGAACTGCTTACAACTACTTGTTTTCCAATTTTTCCATCCAAGGTTATTTCTATATCTTGCTTATGTCACTGTGACATGTACAACTTGGCCAAACACAGCTATAACACTAAATGGAAGTGGAGCTGATTTGGCAGTCCCAGTGTTGGCAGTCTTGCTATTGTTGGTGCGATTAAGATTTTAAAATTCTTGAATAAAATAATCAGACTGAAATGAAACTGCATTGTTGGATTCCCTGACTTTCTTCTGCCTGTTTCCTGGGCTCCAGGCACTGTATCAATTCTTCTTTCTCCCGGTGTCTCCCAAAAATAGGAGTTAATGATCTGGAGAGGTTGCTATCTGGCTCAGCTGTCTCTAGGACAAACTGCAGCAGGCCTAAGCTACCTGAAAACGTTTATTTTGAAATCATCTAGACAGCTTGCTTTTGTTGGCCTTGGTACTAACTATGCTAGTGACTTGTTCAAAGATTTTTTTCGTTTTTTTTTGTTTGTTTGTTTGGTTGGGGTTTTTTTGTCAAAACTGACACAGGTGAAGGTCTGGTTTGACCTTCTGATATCCCCCAGCTATAGTTTTGACTGTGAGTAACAGATCAGCACTAGCCTTACTCTTGATTAGATTTATCAATAGATGTACAAAATACTGTTTTATTTACCCTTGCTGACATTCACTAGTGCTGCTTGATTTTGTGAGTTGGCTTTTTGGCCAGAAGTTCATGTTAGTTTTTATATTTGTATTACAGTAACCCTAGCTACTTTTCTGTATCCTTTCTATGATTGCATGCGAAGTTGAAGAGCTGCTTAAAGTTCAGGCAAGTTGATCTTATTACGCTTTCACCTTTCCTTTTTTCATTCATTTTTTGTAAGTATAGATAACTGCTACGAATAGCTTTAATTTCTGAAGAAACTGATGATCCTTGTCTTCCCCCCCCCCATGAAATTTTGTCGCTCTGCTCTGGATTTGTGGAATACCTTCTTAAACCCCTGTGTGTTCCCCTTGCAATACATCACTCCTTAGCACATGCCAAGTTAGTGATGTCGTAAGGATGGGTAGTCCAACAGATGTATGAGGAATAACATCTTCCTAACAGACAGTTTTCAGAAGTATTTTGACAGGTGCATCTGTGCTTTTGTCTCTTCTCCTTGTCTTTTTTTTTTTAAATTACATTTCACCTAAAATCATTACTGATTCAAAAGTCACAATAGTCTCTGACAGATAAAATAGATTCTATCCTTAATTCCGAATGACAGCTGGTTTATGATAGAAGTATATGCTCTTACAGTAGAAGTTGCAAGCCTTCTGCTTTTTGTACAAATGCGTGCGTACCCTGCTGTAGCAGCTGAGGTCATCAGCCCCATTCTCTGCTGTGCTAATGACATGAACACCAAGCTGGAAATTCACAGAAGGCCACCGCTCTGCTCACCCCGCGCAAGGCTAGAAGGCATCTGGCTGCTGGTAGCCCTGGCTAAGGGCTCACTTGATTCCATGCTGCTGATTTCACCCATGGCTTTCATCATTACAGTAACACACATTTA